TTTCGCCTTCATTTTTGGCTAAATGTTCGTGATTTGCCCATTGAGATAAAACTACACTGGATATAATTGCAGGACTATGCCTTACAAGGCCAGATTATATTTAGCCGTCGAGGGCTATCTTCATCATAAGCTTATCTAAGGGATTTCTTCAGCCTAGAGAGACATATTGTGTGTTACGGGGGATTGGAACAGCGACAATAATGCAGCAGCATCTTACATAAATGGAAGATACAATTTATTCACATCAAGGTTGGTACCTATTTCAGTCGATTTCGAGATTCACCCATAATAATGGGAAGCGACTAGTACCAATTGAATCCTTATCGAATTTCAGGAGTAATGGCATCAGCCGATTTCTGGTTCATTACTCCTGGTAGGAGCTATGATCCATTTAGGACCTAAATTTTAGGTTTGTCCGTTAGAATACTCGCTCGGAAAGAGCAACCTAGGTTTGCTAGTAAGTATTGATCTAGTGGTATGCTCTTTGGCTATGAATCCTAAGGCCGCGGGGTGAAAATCTTAAGTTATACCTCGTAATATTACGAGGTATAACTTAAGATTTTTAATAGTCTAATATAGTGCTATTTCTACGTATTGTTGGATCTGTTTCGAGGCGCGTGAGAAGTATATGCAACTTTCTATACCCCTATCCCCAACATTATAGTTCGAGTCGTCTATTCATAGCAAATGGCTCGGCTATGTAGCGAGCCCCATATAGTGGAGTCTACATTGCCATCGAGTCGGCCGTAGGCAAATATCGTCAGGTAACTACCCTACTTCAAGCTGCGTCGCAGCACTCAATTTCAGCGGAGGTCGTACAGCGTAAAGGTCGAACACCCAGCCTCATACCCCATGACGCACGAGTTCGATACTGGTCGACCCTCATAGGAGGGAATGCTTGGTCGCTGAGTCAACGACGGTTAACGGTTGAGCTGTCTCAGTCTATCGTTAGCGTGGACATCAAATTAGAACTTCCAATTCAGTATGAGCACACTCACTTTGATTGGCGAACCGTAGGGACATGGCAATAGACGATTAGGAGGATATAACGAAAGTAAGAGGACGATATTGACTAAGGGAGCGATGTGTTGATAATTTCGCTGGTTTTCATCCGGATTGTCTCACGAGGCCGTGAAGATGGAGACGGCTTTAATGAAGCCGCTTATCAAGTTTATGTGTTACTAAAGCCACTTTATGCGTTACTCAATGGTAGGCGGCATTGCCCGATGTAGATTCGTGAGTAGGGTACTCAGTGAGTCGCTGCATCAGCTCCGATTTGGGAGTCTAAGATACCTTATCTCCGCTAAACTCTTTTGGAGGGCTAGCGCATCGGACTTTCTCGTTTCGAGCATTCTGGTCAATTCCTTTCCGATGCGACATTTCCGGGCAGCTCGGAAATACTAGAATAATTCCAGCTCGGCGAATCGTCAGAGACGTGTGATTGTGGATTCGTCTCTTAATTGACTTTCTACATGGATAGATTGTGGAGTAGTGAATCTCGGTTGAGATACTCAGGTTTAGTTTTTCACCCTCAGAATGCATGTTGCCTTACCCTCCCTCCATGTAGTGGGGGTTATGATTCTCTTTCTTCTACCGGGGGTATTCTCAGCAGCTCATGGAGCTGCAGTAGTGGTTATCGAAGATAATAGAGGCAAGCAAGTCCCTATAAAGGAGGCATTCCGCCGTACCTTTCGCGACGTCACCGAGGGGAAAGGACGGGCCCACCATTCAGTGGAGGAACTGAGTCGACTATCGGAGTGCCTCGGAGAGTCGGCGGACTCGGCGCTGATAACGAACTTAGAAATCACGGGTATTGAGATAGTCTCCACTGGAGTTCCGGGCTGTTTGCCAAACAGCCCGGAACAGTGTTTGGTGTCTGATGAGGAGATTTGTGATTTTGTTGTGTCCTTGTCACACTATGAAGACTATAGAGAAGTAGCATGCACGGTCAACTCACACTCGTGGATGACACCACAAATCAGTGAAATGCCAGGGGCTACATCATTCCACGTTGGTGTCCCTCGGACGAAATCCCGCGTAAACGCGTTGGTGTATCCTCCAGACGATCCGATATTTTCGAGACAAGTTGAGTTGTTCAAAGCCTTGAGGATCGAGGAGACGTGGAAGGCAGTGAGGGATTCGGGCCTTCAACGGAGGGAGCCAATCGTGAGCTTATTGGATACCGGTATTAAAGCCGAACATCCTGAGTTCGATGGGAGACTCCTCAAGGGGATTGACCTTACTGGGCTACCTGGGAAGAAAGACACGGATCGCCACGGCCACGGCACAGCAATAGCTGGGATCATTGCGGCCAATTCGAACAACGGCGAAGGTATCAGTGGGATCGCCGATAAGGTGAAAATACGATCGGTTAGGATGTCTTATGAAAAGGGAGTTGCTCCTGTCAAGTTCTCTCGCGCCTGGGAGGAGGCGTTGCGATGTGATGATACCGACATCATAGTCTTCGCTTATAGTGGAAAGAATTGTGGTCAGACTGCGGCTCTATTTAGTCGTGTGTTGAAGAAAGCTGTCAAGAAGGGCTTCGTAGTCCTCGTATCTTCCTCTAACTCGGACAAAGTCGACAGTGCGTGCGAGATTGAGCAACCTTGTTCCCAGGCCAATGGTATAACAGGAGTTCTCTGCGTTACCTCAACCTACGTGGATGACCCGATGACGTTGGTCAGTGGGGCTTCCAAATTGGCAACTCTTGCCGTACCATCCTCCGACGTCTGGTTCCCAACACCGGAGCGTGAGGGAAGCGAGTGGCTATATTCAAAGAGTACGGGCTCATCGGTCGCCACGGCTATTGTTGCCGGGATAGCAGCTCTGGTGACGAGTTTGGGGCACTTCGATCCAGCAGACGTCGAGAGGATATTATTGAACTCCACAAAGGGAAGAGCGAAAACGGATAAAGACGAGATGCTGTACGGAGTCCTCGATCCCTACCTCGCTATTCAACAGGCAATTAAGGAAGCTACTTTATCAACCTCGGAGGAGTCACGGATGACTCGGAGGCAGAAAGAATCATCCTGCACGATCTCGTGAGATACTGGTGCCCATGATTGGTCCCCCATTTAGATGCATATTGAGAGTCTTCGTCTCCATGAGCAT